GTTCTACTTCTGATGAATGATGATAAATTAGTGGAACGAACACTTAGTTTCTGACGCCGTTACGAGCAGTTTGCTGAAGTGGCAAACAAACCAAATCCAGACGCTGTCATGGATCTCTTCCTTCAAGACGTCTCAGTCGGTCATCGCAACCAGAACTGGCAGGATGTTGTAGCGTGTGATGATTCAGTGTTTTCTTCCGGGTATTTAGCTTAGTATACATAGTCGTAAAGTCTGGTGACATGATCGCTTATCCATAGTGGGGTATCTATCAATGGTCTGTCAATTATATATCCTTCATTTGGATGTATCAGGCCTAGTACTGATAGCTTGCTATCAGCCCTGTGCGTGTTAGGTGAGTGTAAAGGAGACTACTTGTGATAAGATCTTGTAGTTCGGCCTTGAATGTTTCCTTGTGAGGTGCCGAGGTGTCCAGGTCGTTTACGTTTGCACTGCCTGATATAAGAACGTTGCTGCAGGTGGAAAGTGGGTCTTCCGTCATGATCGACCTTAGGCAGGAATCCATCACTGGAGTGGACGATGGGGGTGATATCAGACTGGCACGAAGCAGTTGTTATTGTATCTGAGACGCAAACGGCACCATAGCGAATTGATGACCGGCGTCTCCGGATCATCCAATGGTTAGCGTTGTGAATCGTTGCGATAGTATATTAAATTCCACAAACTGCCCTGCTGGGACGATCGTGTCGGAACAAGGATCTTCCCTGAATCGCAATCTCGGCATCCCTAACTTCCAGGCGCAACCACATCTCGGTACTTGAAACGTGATCCCAAGCCTTTGTTAGCTGACGCGTCCGAAGCCCGGCTACTTTGCTGAGGAGGTCTTGGGCTTCAGTGTACATGTAGGAAAGTGTTTTGGTTCTGAGCATCGATCCGAAAGACAAGTGGTTCGGATGAGAGATTGTGCCGACCGGTGCACAGTTCTCCGTTAGCGGATTTTTGGTAGTATTATCGGTGAGTCGTTTAGTTGGGTTCGGCGGCATCCTACTTGGAGTTCTGGTAACGCATTTTGCACACTGCATGAAGCGTGGTTACAGGGGTACACAGGAAGTGCCTTGCTTTTTAGAGCCCCTACCAGTGTGTAGTTCATACCGGGCCTGACTTAAGCTTCCTGCTGAGGTGACGCTTTAAATTAAGCGACAGTTTCGCTCGCCGCTTTGAAATGAATATCGGTCGGCTGTCTGTGTGTGTCAGCGTTCTATTAATCCAACTGCCATCTAACTAGTTTGAAACACGGCCTTCATTTTCCTTGGGTTGCATGTTTTGTAGCTTGCTGAACTTAACAGTCTTGAGAGAGCAGCAGCTACAACATCCAAGATCATGGTCTCACAAATATCGCGACACTGCTCCTGGTCATGAACCACTGCTTCGCGTTTATCGGGCTCATGAGAATAGGAGACGCCTTGGGCGAAAACGATTTTAACTGCGGTGTCTGCGTGCTACTTTCTAAGCTCTGCTTTGCTCGCTTGCGCTCACCACACGGGACGTTTGGAAAGACGCGGACAAAACAGTATCCGTTTCAGAGGAAATCTATCGAAAGCAAGCGTGTTGTCACCTTATCGACAGAGCTTAACATAACCCGAAGTAGCCTGACTTCATCATAATGCTTAGAATTTGGGTGACGAGTAATCCTCGTCAGGTTGGTGGGCATAAGCTGAACACAAGATATTTTACTTATGGTGTTTCTTTGACCCGGGTCGTTCATCTACCTTACTTTCAATGTATCTGATCTTGGGCCTTGAACTTTGATAGGTATTATGGATACGACTCCCAGGTGTTCCTGAATGTCTTTCAAAGGAATGTGGATGGTGATTGGAAGACCTGGCGATGTGCTACGCACCAGTGCAGCGGCACCTCTCACAGTTGTCTTGAGTTTGGTAGTAGAAGATGCTGGTACTGTTTCAGGAGTCTTTTTGGATGCAACTACGGCCCACCAACCCCTGATATTGGCTTGTTTCCTGATTTTCGGTGAAGCCTGGTGGGAGGAAATGGGTTTGGGGAAATTGTAACATATGGGCTAGAGATGAATAGTTTGGAAATGGCTTGACGGTTTTAAGTAGTGGTTAGGTGGTTGCTTACGCTTTTTACAAGGCACACTTTGTTAGTAGAACACCCGGCGCTATGGATTTGGCTTAGAGCGTCGTTCGGTGGAGGGGCACGGATCATACGTTCTGCTATACTAGTTCCCATGTTAAGTTACTATTGCGCTCAATATTTGCTCAAACATCTTTGCCAGCTTTTCATGCTTCGGAGACGCTGTATTTATTATCATAACTAATGTAACGGTATAACAGTTCACGTAGAGTCGAAATGAGTCGGGCGCGCTGTTGAGCAGCCTAACCTTGCTTGGCTTTACATTACCGCCTTTGGTATGGTGATAAATGCAGCAGTTAGACCATGAGAGTCCTATTTTGTGTATCTACTACCCATTCCACAGGCGCGTTTAGGCACAGCGGATGGGGTACTCGTGCCCTCAGGTCACATGAATTTGTTGTGGACGATAAGTTCACCATTAACCCTAGGTTGTTTGCTCCCTGTCGCGTCCGGTTTGTTGCGACATGTGGCTGTCTCACCCTACTGCCGTGCACCGATCACCGTATTCGGCTATCGGTCGTCTCGACGGTTGTATAGACACACCTACACGAAGGCGTGGTGCTTTTTGATCCTCTTATGTTACGCAACAGAACCGAATGGAGTGCCGAACAGCACTGACTTTACAGCGATGTTTAATGGAGGACCAACGCAACCTTTCCTGTAGCTTCTTATGCTGCAGCCTACGCAGATGTTTGCAGGATCGTTTGAGAGCCCTCAACTTCCTCTTACGAATGAGACCAAATATTTCCCCAAAAGTCTGTGGGTGTGTAGTTGCACGCGTTGTTCTTGGCAATGAGCGCGCCAAGATAGTGAACTGGAACAATAAAATGATCCACACAAGTTAGATGCAAAAGGTGTGGAGCATTGAGCGGCCCTCGTCGAACTGATGTGAATGAACGTAAGCACGGGAATGTGTGACTCGAATTGGAAGCGCAACTCCGGATGATGTGAGAGCGCTGATATAGTGCTGCCCTACGGCGCAGTGTTCTCCTGTGGGATTGTATGGTGCATAAGTGATTATGGCCAACATACTGATGATCTAAGGAGAATGCTGGGCTCAACTTATCAACGAGGTTTCTGTCGCCTCATTCCTACATGACATACCCAATAGAAAATGTGTTACCTAAGGTGAAAATATAGGCGAGGCGTCTAGTGAACAACCAGACGCCCGATGAGATCATTCAAAGGAGAGTCGACAGGGCAGGGAGAGTCGAAGGGCAGCACGAATTGCACCCTTAATGCCATGGTGAACATGAAAAGGGTAGCCTATCAGTAATTGAATTCCCAACGTTTTTCTTGTCTTCCTTCTCAATCACTTGCTGATTTTATAGGCGATAATAAACTGTTAGTTTTGACTGGAAAACCCGTTTGATTTGAAAAAGTTCGAGGTTAAAGTGAAACCTGTATACATGTGATAGTAGCCGTTGGCTCTTGTGAAAGAAATCGATGAATGACAAACGGAAAGGGGGCCAACGGAACACCACCCATAATTACGTGTGCTAGGGAAGGGCGATCGAATCCATCCAATCAATTACGAGCGAAGAATAACCTTGTTGTTGACAGGGGCGAAGTGGATTGGCCCAGACAACAGTAAGCGAACGGCACGTACATTGCACCTAGCGTAGCTTTCCGACACTACGTGAAGTGGCGACTGACCAACTGAACGAGTGCAGACGGCGGAAGACTAATAGTTATAAAGCGTATCAAGCGCCACCCACGCGGGTTGACTTCCATTGCTCGGGTTAATCGGACAACGCAGAAGTGACGCTGTTTGACATGAACCGTTATCAACATGGCCCAAGACAGGGTAGACGTGAATTTGATCAATCACGTTGGGCCAATACAAATAAAATACTCATATGGAAGGTGACAAGGGGCAGTATGCAGTGGATAGTTGTAAAGGTAAATAACACTTCTAATTTAATGTGCAGTATGAATGATACTATGTTTTACGAGTGGCGGGTTTCGATTGGTGCCCCGGTTACTCGACATCTGTGATATATTAGTATGCATGGTGTAGACATTTATAGAAGCCTACGGTTTGTCGGTCTCTCTCGGATTTCCCCTTAGTGCAAGACGACTTACTGCTGAGATCCTCCCTTACCACAGCTGCCATTTGGGCACATTGAGTACTCAGTCAACACAGAATTTACAAGGATTCTCGGGGCTGTCACAGCGCTCAATAACTTGAGGGTGGATGCTGGAGTATACAGTGCGCAACCTAGCCATATTAAAACGTAATAAAATAGAGCTCCACTGTAGCTTGTGCAGTTGGATCCAAACACAGCGGGGTTTTGGTAATGCTTTACCAGACCAACTTATGCAATATAATGTTTAGTATCTCCGCCTAAGTTGTTTGTGGTCAGGTACGCTTGGGAACAATCAACTCACATATAGAAGCGCACTGCAATATATAGTGGACTCAAAACATTTATCATATCTCGCAACAGTGGTTTTTCTTTTATATCCGTACCTTCCAACTGCCTATTGTTTTCTCTGCTTGCAAATCCCGGTCATTTGAGCTTTCCCGGGGAGTCATGCGCTACGCTGCTCCTTACTCTTACGGATTTGCTCTCCATCCCATGTAACACTTCACAGTGCATTTTGGTCCAACCGCTCCTACTGTTCTCTGCATTATGATTTTTGTTACCTACGTTACGTGGCCTCGCATGTGACTACCCCACAATTAGATCAGGTGAGTTATAAGGCGAAGTTGGGAGGTCGAACATCATTGTGCATCTGTAAAATCATGGGCATTTGGTCGATGGAGAAAGGTGATGAAATTATTGAAATTATTTCGGATGTCGCGCTCCATCTTTACTCAAAGGTTAACTCACCTTAAGACAGTTGGGTTAAAACGCGCATTCAGTTTGTATGCAATTACTTACGTTTGCATTAACTTGGGCGAGGAAAATTCCAGAAAGGCGCTGCTCGTAAAGGAGATTCGACTCATTAGTCCCGGGTTGTAGCCTAAAGATAGCAGGGTGTTTGCACAGAGATCAAGTGAGATATGTGTGAATCGGCAAGCATGTGTAAACTATCAGAGCGCAGCATTTAATGTATTGGTTCTAGGCACCTCCCTAACAGATACACTCTATCTGGGAGATATCAGTTAGAATGTATTAATTGCTGTACCGATTTTCTTGCTTAATGTCTTTGTGGCAACTGGAAAATATAGACCCAATTCTAACTTTCTGACTTACGCTGAGTTGCTCATGCAACAAAAATCTGATGTAGTATATAGGAACTGAGATTATCACACACCTGAGATGCCCAATTACTATTTTGGTTCAGGACTCAGGATTGTTCGTCAGGACTCCAATCTTCCCTATCCTCGATCTTTTTCGTCGTCAGCACCTACCTTTGAGTTGATTAATTTTCGCAGTGGGGCATTTCGACAAGCAACCAGACCTGTGCACTTGACTGCAGCAATCGTCAGTAAAACGTTCTTAGAATAACGGCTTGCGCACATTCTTTGTTGTTACCAAGTCTCATTAGTGTGATATTCGAATTACGGTGGACAGGAACTAAGCAATCTGGCCATCTGACAGTAGAAACCAGCACGTTTTAATCTGGCTTCAAAGACCAGATTCTTGCGCATGAACTGCGAATATGCCACTAGGCTTGACTCAGGTAAACAATGCACAAGACATTTGGTTGTTTATTGTGTTTGAAAGTAAACAATCATGTATCCTTTACTGGTTGACGGTGATTTGAGTTGAGTCCCGTTCGAACCGAGGGATAGATCGGAAGTCGGTGCTGGGTTGTAACCAGTTGTTGGCACCAACTCAAACTGGACAAGCATTTTGTGGATTGCGCTAGGTGATCATCAACTTTGCAATCCCTTCGCATTGCCATCAACCATCCTACGTTAGGCCGCTTAGACACACAAACACACACACACACCATATATGCAGTAGAAACTGCTGCAACACCATTGTATATCGTTCCTGTGAGCCATTGCATTGAAATAGCACTGACCTACATTGTCACACTGCATGCAACAAACTGTGGAGCACATGGTAGCATGATTACGTCGTTCTGTGCACATTCTGGTCGGTCACATACTCATCTGACAGCGTCTTCCGGTATGACCCAAAAGGCAGGAACATGTGAAGTCGTCTCCATCTGGCTGACATTCACCGAATTCACCACACGCACTCGACAGTTCAGAACAAGGATGGCTGGCACAGTTCACCACGTTGATACCACTGATTGCGTCCCCAATTAGGCGCACCGGATATCCATTAATGAGGAGCTGAAGAGAAAAAATGTGAAACAGTGTAGTTCGTGCTAACAGCATATGAGATTATTTGTTAATGTTGTATTAATTTATCCCCAGAGTTGAAAATTCCTGGTACAAGTGTAGTTTAGACAATGGAATAATCGGTTTGTATACTATTTAACTGACTCCACGGAACTCATATTGAACGGCGATGAGCTTCAGTGGGCTTTCCTTACGCTCGTTCCCATGAGGCCACATGGTTACGCCACGGATTTTGGTGAGCTTTAACGGGTTAGCAGAGCCACTGTGTGACATTATGTAGAGGGGCCGCTTCCAAGAATGCGTCGGGGTAGCTCTTCGGAGCTAGCTGAGAGCGGATCGAAAAGCACGGCGAGCGACGAGCCTGGGCCCGGAACTACGGAGCGGAAATATGTGGACAGCGTAATAAATTAGACATATACGCCGCTAGCGCAGCCCACAGGACCGAGGCCGAGCCGATTGGCACAACCCAGAACATGCAAGTCGAGAGCTCTCGAACGACTCCTGGCCGATCCAATTCGGTTACAGAGAAGTGGAGATCGAGGCAAAAACAGGAAGGCGGGTCTTCCAAGTCAGAGCTCCCGAGGCGAAAGGACTGACTCGTCTCTAACCTCCGTACCTGTGTTGCGTGGTGGGACGGAAATCTAGCCGATATTCGATGGCGCGCGTGAGACCCTGGTGTGCCCATTTTCGGTGTGCAATAAAGGTCTACGCCCCCCTGTCGTGTCTTTCTCGCTACAATTACACTATTTCTGTTCAACCTAGGTAAGCGTATGAACGATGGACGGAACACTTACTAAGTATCATAAGGTGCCGGGTGTTAACTCGGGAAAGAAATATCAACTTCTATTGCTAATGGACATGGGCTTTCAAATTAGCGCTTGATGACATTTACAATTAGGCGACTTAGCATGCTTTAAAGCTGATAATGAAGGGCTAGGTGCGACGGGACGTGCTCAGAATTACTCATTGACTTACTTCTTGAAGGCATCCTCTAAAACCGATTAATTGAGATATGGCAAATTGATTGAAGTGTTCGAGAAGATAAACCGAGACTTTATCCACATCCGGATGGAATCCCAAGAATAGATGATGGCTCAGTGTTAGTTGAACTAGGGGGCCAACTGAAAATGTGGTCTCTGGTTGTTTTGTCCCGTCCAATATGAGGAAGCCTTGACGTCCGATGAGCCATAGATGAAGTTTGTGCCACGTGCCCATCGCAACTGGCGACGGATTTCTGAGTTAATTTGGAACAAACGCAGTTGTTAATCAGGATTGCAATAGCGATGTTGTTACTAACTTTGAGTACATATACAACACTGAGCTTCGCAAATATGTCTATTACGGAAGCAACGAAAACATTTCATTCCATTTAGACATACTCAACCGAGCACATCCTCTACAGCTATTTGTCCGTAAGTACCAAATATATAGGTGAATAGAATAGTCGTTGCGAGTTGCCCGCCAGGAAACACCACACTGCGAGTGCAGTGCTTTCGGGCTTGTAGCACCCAAGGCTTCAGCAGTTTCAGTACCAGGGATCGAATTGGCCAAAAATCACTTCAATGCGAACCACGGTCCACACTATGATTACGCGTCGCAATTCAATCCCACAACATGTACTTCAAAATGGTCCTCTAATCTTTCAGTGACCGTTATGCTAGGCGTTGCGCATTGTGACCTGGTGGTTAAGGCAGTAGAGATCGATACTAACACCCAAACGGTCCCAGGTTCAAGACCTGCTATATATATATATATATATATATATATTGACAAATCTATAGAATATTCATTGAGCCATTCAAAACCATGGAATTTTGAATTGAGAATAATAAAAGGTATAAAATATGTAAAGAGCTTGCTAATGTATGAAAAAGCGGAACAACTATTTTGTTGTTTTACACACGCATTTAATACTTTTTTCGGTTTTCAAGTGTTTGTGGCTTCGTAAACTTGAGATTAGGCAGACTTATGCGCACTGCTTCCAATGCGGCCGATTTTGTGCTATTGCTTCCAGTGTTGTGAGCCATTTGTATTCCTCATCTTTGGGTCCCCAGCCGGGGAGACGTACGGGGCCAGCGATGACCAGGCAAGATATCACCGATTTCATGCATTGTCGCCAGGTGGTCGCTTGACCACCACGCGGCCTTTTCCAAACTAATCCTGCATGCGCAAGCAGGGTGCGGCGTGATAAACGCTCGTTAGGCATACGCTGGGCCTGGCCAAACCATCTCAATTGACGAAGCCGGGCAACGTCATAAAGCGGAACATCCGCCTTAACCAAGGCGCGGGTGTCTAACGTCAACACTACACATTCGGTGTTGCCAACACACGCGGACAATCCTCCGTAAACAGTTTCTGTCGAATACCGAAAGACTACCCATGTCTTCCACAAGGATTGGCCAGGATTCACGTCCACACAGCAATGATGTGCGTACACAAGTTTTGTAAACCCTGCTTTCAAACTAGAATGAAACGTCTTAAGTTGACAAACGCTAACCGGGTCTTAGCGATACGAAGGCATACCTCTGCTCCAATAATGCCGTCGACAGAGACGCAGCTCCCTAGGTAGATAAAACTATCTACCTGTTAGAGCTGTGTACTTTCCACGGTGAGCTGGGGAAGAGGTGCCTACTAGTCCTGTAAAAGAACTCCAAACACAACAAACTTAGACGCTTCAATCACCAATCGATCAATGATCGATCGCACCCCATGGGGTCGTCACCGAGCAAGACGATATAATCAGCGTAGTCTAAGTCTGTCGCGCGATTATCTGGAAGAAGCTAGATGTGGAACTTCTGCAGACCGTCTAAAGCTCCCAAAGGGACATCCTCGATCGCAACGTTGAATAGAAACGGTGACATAGGGCATTACTGTCGCACGCCACTGGTGACACGGAAGAGTGGGGAAAGCGTGCCATAGGCTTCCACTCGGTCTGAAGTGTTAAGATATAGCGCGCGAAGTTTAGCAACGTACTTTTCCGGACTCCATTAATCAACAGTCAGTTCTATAGTGCTAGTCGTTCTACGGAGTCGAACGCAGCCCGAATATCCAGGAAAGTGATGATGGTGGGTCTGCGGTAGAGGTGACGATGCTCCAGGAGTTAGTGAAGTGTGAAAATTTGATTCACACATCCTCAACCAGTCTGCTGCTCCCGCTAGTGTGACTCACAAGCGGGGAATTACCTGAGGAGCACGATGGATGTTAATAGCTTGGAGGTAACCGTCAGCAGACTATTTCCCCCGAAATTGAAACACAAAGTGTGAGAGCCTTTCTTGAAGATTGGAAAAATGATTGGCTCCCCTCGGAAGAGGGGACCCTTTCTTCCTGCCAGGTCTTCAGAAACAGGAACGCAAGCTGCTTGACGACTACTCTACCGCCCTATTTGAACGTCTGGGACAAGTTCATCTGAGCTAGCCGCCTTGAACTGCTTCGGGTGACGAATCTCAGAACAAACCTTGACTTCGGTTGGTGGTTCAAGTGACACTAACTGTGGCATGCGACTGGGTGTACTGAGTGTTAAGGTGGATGGTGAGGAACAACTGAACTGAGACTGAGAGTGGTCAACCCATCTATCCATGCATATCTGGAGATTATTGACTAGTGGCCCGTGCGTCTCACAGATGACCTCGCTGATACCAGACCGCCTGTGTCCAGTGGGCCGAATAAGCTGAAACCGCTTTCTGGTGTTTCCATTGAGGGCGGCGTCCATCTCCAAGGCGCATTAGGACCACCAAGCTTTCCGATCGCTGCAAAGGCCTTGTTTGAGTTGTCTACTGTTAATGCGGCGAACTACATTCTGGTCTGGGTTTACTGAGAGAGTTCGGTGGCAGTCGAACAGTATCAAGGAGCGCGCCGATATCCAACACTTCAACGGGTGATGACATCACCCACAGACTGATTGACCTGAAGTTAGCATTGCTTGCTGCAAGAACTTCCAGTGATGTTCAGTATCAGTGGGTGGGACGCAGGCTAGTGTGCTTGCCAATAATAGTTGATAGTCTAGCTGAGACGACTGACCAGCTAGCCTGTTCATGGCAAGGTTACAAAGTCTCCGTTTCTGATTTCCTCCGAAGCGCATGCAAATATTGGCACAGAGCAGTGCGTAATCTGAATCGCCGTAGACAGATCAAAACGGCCTACATTCTTGTATGCCGCCATGCCACCTGAAACTAATTGCAGCATGGCCTATTTGGGAAGAGGCTTGCGACGGTGGAAAAGGACACCAGGTGGCAGAGCGCCTCCTAGAGTTCCTGAAGGTTTTGCTTGCGAAAAATAGGCCTGGTTCCGTTATCTGAACGACTCTCGTTAAGTGCATGATGAACACACAAATGATGTTCCCCTGATAACTCCCGGACCACACGTGCGTTGCACTCTACGGCAAGGACAACCACTAACTGATGTGATCAGATAAGGTGGAAACGTGCTATGCAGTGCAGCGTTCGCAGGCGGGCAACATCTAACTTCCATCTGTAGAAAGAATTTGCGACCACCCAGGTCTCACCACTGTCAAATGCCTACTTCTACGTTGGTCAGCCTCATCGCGCAGCATGGATCATTTGTGTGCCGATCCACTTCATCATTTTCTGTTCCAACGCTACCTCCCAAGAAGCCCTTACTGTGTGGCTTAGTGTCAAATTTCCAGTTCATCCAAGCCCTACCCTGCTTTCACTCTTATGCACAAGTACCCCTATGTTTGGGGTCATTCGTATGACACCGTTTCCCTTGATTTGATCGACTTGTGTAACTTTCACGGTTCGTGTAGCAATGTATACCAGACGCAGCACGGTTTATTGGCGGACGCATACCTATTACCCTTGGCTCATTTGGATTCTTACCATAAGGTCTCTGTGTCTCACTTTGATTCCATTGTTTTCTTTCGCACGCCTGAGCTCACTGGTCGCTCGTGGCTCTGAGCGCTAATTGTTGGCACACCTTTGGAAATCGTTAAGTTAATATCTATTTTGATACGACAAATTTTTACAAATAGCACCGTTATCTCAGGTCCGGACTTCGTCTTTCTGTTGAACATTCCGGTGGGAACTGTATGGCTTTAACTTGTACATGCTTTGTGTCCTTACACCAACCGCTACCTTAAGTGACCGGTTTTGCCAAGGATTAAATCAATGCAAATCGCCATTCACATTGAGACTGCGCGTTGCAATTCAACCACACAGCGAGTACCTCGAAGTGACCCTCTGAACAAATTTACTGATTGGAACTGAAGCTGGAAACTGGGCTGGTTGCACCATGTCGCACAGTGCTCAAATACTAAAGGGCAACCTTTTTATCCCATTCGCATAACCTTCTGCTCAGAGAAGGAAATTACGCGAGCCAACCTACGTGCTCACCGTCCCCTCCACAAGGTAGCAACAAGTATACTTGCGTCAGTGTTAAAGTGAGTAGATTGGTGTCATTTAATACCCGAATATTCACATTTTCTGTCTTTTACTTTTGGTTTTATCCTTCTTAATCCATTCAGTATACAGGACTTGCCAGGCAATCTCTTTGTACGTTTTATAATTCATCGTTTTCCTGTCCTAGGATTTTTCACATTTGTTGGTATGTAGTCTTGTGTATTAATAAATAACCTGCTCCTTTTCGAAAATTTTATATTGCTTCCCAACAAGTTTGATTTGTGTCAAATAGGTAGTACTGACTGATGACGCCCAGTTAGGAAAAGTCTCATTTATCCCGCCGAATATCCTGCAAACGACTGAAACCGCAGCTACGCAGCTGTTGAGGCAATCACTATATAACATAACGGCGCTACTGTTCAAAACTGGGAGCGCTAATTACTCGACTATACGATAGCTCCAACTGATCTCTTTAAGAATAAACTGGGAGAATCGCTGGACCACTTACTAGGTGCTTGCCTATTTCACAGTGTGGTTCAACAAACTGTCCGAATGTAGTGGAATGTGGGGCAGCCTAACCTATGATGTATGTCTCTCCTTTGACCTTCAGACTGAGTTGCGCATAACCTGCTTTGGCTACACACATTTTGCATCGTCGTTTAATCACATACACGTGTATTTTGACAAATAAATTGAGATCTCCGACGGAATTGTTCTCACTGATTCCGGCCACTCAATAAAAACTTTTTAATCCATAGAGTTGAGTTACTCTTCGAAGCAAACCTGCTTGGGAACAGGCTGGCTCCAAATGAAGTCCGGATGCAATGGCAAACATTTAGCTGCGCAAAGACATGTAATTCCACATCGGGAAAAACATCAGGGTGTAGTTGACAGTTATCCGCATTGTAAAATTGTTTCATACCGATAGAGTGCCTTGTGATAAATTTACCCGGTATGTCGCTGCTTCGGAACGATAGGGCTGGAAGGGGTATTCGGATAACTTTTTGTTACAAAACTGATCTCTGATAGGAAAATAATGAAAATTTGGACCTACACGCCTATTATTCGCTTTGACTCCGGCTATTGCTACGGAACTAAACACTTGTCTTGTAGCTGTACTTTATCGTCCATCAAACTCTATGTCGAAGATGGACTACAAACTGAACCACCTTTTGTAGGTTGCGCTGAACAAGTCACACACGCACATTCTCACTGCGGAGGAATTTAATGTACCCGACATGGTAACGCCAGCAATTGATGATGCACAGTTTTACGCTGGTTTGCTAGGGCTAATTTCCACTTACATTCTACACAACCGCGTTGCCTATCTCACCAGATTTCGAATGTAGAACGGGCCGTCGATGTTTGAGCTTATGCTCAGTAAAAAAGAACTCATAGTAAACGGGATGGTTGCAAGGAATTTCTTTGGCCACAGAGACCATTTGACCCTACTTTTTGACCATAAATGCTATGCGGAATACCCTGTAAAAGAACAGCATAGAGTATATACTTTCAAGCACATCAATATGTTACCCGCGCCAGTCAAAGACCCATCTTGAAAACTCTTCGCTGACCGCCTGGAATAGGTCCACAATGAGGATTAGCCAACTGCTAGCGCACGCATCAGGACAGAAATACTTGCATCGTCAAAGCCAAAGCAAGTCATATATAAGGAGCAAAATGCATAAACGCATCTCCTTGATTGATTTGGCGTGCCGAACTAACAAGGACAGTGTCATTGTCGAAACGTGGACAGCATACGTGGTACAGCGCAACTGTTGTGTGAAACTGATCCGCGAGGAAAGTATGACTCATCAGCAGGATTTAATGACGCGTTTCATCACGAACCTCAAACTCATGCAGTCATGTTATTGTCCTTCGTAAGGTGCAGTGCGGGATTCCAGCACTGGTTGCACTGAGTGGTACACGCGATTAGTAATGGAAACAGCCGATGTATTACAATTCCATTACTCCCATACGTTGCATAGTATAACAGGTCCAATGGCTATCCCTTTTTCTATTGACCCACCGTTAGTTTTATCCGATGTCAGATTTACTACAAAACCTTTGATGAAGAAGCTGTCTTCCCTGCATTTCCACGCTTCTCCTGGAGTCGACAACATTCAACTGAGGGCTCTACAGGCAGCAGCCACTGATCTAGAGGGACCTATGGCTCCATCTTATCAGCGTTTCCTAGAGGAGAACCAAATTTTACCAATATGAAAGCGCGGCGTCCTCATTCATATACATGAGTGAGGTAGTCTCACCGACCATACCAGTTACTGTCCGATAACTGCTTCCTGTGATTTTCAGAGTTATGATATCAATCGTCACAGATGTACTGATGCCCTATCTGGAAAAGTACATCACAGTAACACGAGAACAAAATGAGTTCCGCTAAAATCGCTCATGTACTCCTAAGCTGCTTTTTACAGTCATCAGCTGGACCAAAGCAGCAGTTAGTGGAGTTGGAGTCGATGTTATTTACCTGAAATTCTCAAAAATCTTTGAGTGCTTAAACTGTCGAATTCTCCTCCACAAGCTTCGGAACCATGGCATTGGCGAACCAATCCTGGGTAGGGTAAGCAATTTCTACATGAAAATCGGAATTCATCTCTGAGGCTAGCAAGTGGAGTTCTGCGTACCACAAGGTCCGATGCTAGGGACTAATCCCTTTTTAATTTTTAGAAACGATCTTGGGAGACATCCGAACACAACTTTTTATGTTTCCTAATCGATATGAGGTAACTGCTTGAAAATGAGTGAACAATACAGCCGTCTGGAAATCCGATGGAATTAAATTTCTCTTCGGATTTTCAAGCTTAGTATTCTCCCGAATTAAGTTGTCTCCTCCCCAATTTCGGATATCTTCAAAGAATGATCGGATGTTTTCCTTAGCCCCTAGCACTTCGTTACATATGCTGCGCTACTTTATATTATATGTACACGTACTGGATTAATGTGTCACATAGACCTAAGGAAGCTTCACACGGGTGAGCGCTTTTAGTTTTAGTTTTCTCACAGAATACGTTCACTATCAATGTGTTCCCTGTTGTTCTATTTGCTTACATTCAATTCGTATTTTACACTATCGTTATTCAGTAGCGCATTCAGCTCAATAGACGGTTAACCAGACACCTCACATATCTTTTGATTTTTTTAAGTTTTCACGCATACCATCCTACGGGATTCGTCAAGCACCTGATATTTCGCCCATGGTAAATTATTGTTCCTTTTTCATTGTTCACTTTTGTGTGCTCAATGTGGTTCCTTCGCGGATGTATTTATTCATACGCATGAATTACTAGAGACGCGCGGCTTATAGGCCTTAAGCTAGGAAAAAGCATAACATTTAACATCATGAGATAGTTTTGCATTAGCAGTATTACTAGGAAATTGCGAAGGGTTCGGAATGATTTGGGCAAACTTATTCGGCCTGTGCTGTTCTCATGCTGACAGTGGGGTTCCACATACAAGTTAGCGTGTTTCTGATACTACTTGTAAATGGGAGGAGTAGTTCAATTAGATAACTACTCAACAACCTATCTTGATGGCTATTTTGATGGCGATGTATAGTCAACCACCGGTTTATGTAAAACTAGTGAAGATAAACCATCTCTTTATAAGGTATATATACTAAAACATACGAAAACGGCTGAAGTTGTAAATATTTCTCACCTTAGAAAGGCTGGACCGGAACCAAGATCGAAAATAACTTCCAGAAAACTGTGCATAAGGAGAACTGCAACGAAGTCACCGCGCCTATCTTCACCGAAACCTTGATAAAGCAGCAGGCCAGTAGGTGCCGTGGGTTTGAATGACAAAGTTAAGGTTGTCTTCGAATGCGATGTACCCCGAAGTCCCGTATATTCGGTGTAGGACCGACCGTTATACTGAGGTAGGTGCACTTCGTTTGCTGCGGTTTGCCAAAGACAAAAAGCAGCGGTGGGGTATTTTTCTATTATTCGCGACCAAAGTATAATCCCACATGTTATTTCAAATATGGCTAGCACAGAAGTAGTTGGAGGGTGGAATAATGTAATGCAATTTTAATGCTGTGCTATCCTACTTTACTCTCATGACAGGTATCGCAAGTCATGCGCATTCTTCCCAACATCGCCTGTAACTAGCAGAAATATGAATTCAGGGTTCGCCTACATAAAGACCTCAACTCTTCAAATCGGTCTCGGTTACTATCAACATTTGTAGCCAACATGTCGGCCTGTTGTGGGATGAATTCGTGGGTCAATGAAACCATTTCCGCCGAGATGCATAATTAGTACTATCGCTAATGAGTATGTTATCAGTGCTTGGGAACCGAGTAGAAGCTTGCGTTCTGTATACTAGAACTTTCGTAACTGTGGCAAATAAGGATTGTCAAAGGCTGAATGCATTCAGCGTATACAGTGGACACCACTGGCGTTAACGGGAATACTTGACAATAGCCTACGAAATCAGAATCAGCCAAAACATTATCCCCACAGGTAACCGTTTGAAAACGGAGTGAACAACGTAGTCATCTAGACTACAGATCAAACAACGCTTGAACTCGGAACATCTTCTCAAACTCCGTTGGTTGTGTTCTAAATTTGGTTACGTTCAGTAAGCAGTTTGAACCTGCTATCAACTCAATATACTCAATATACCCTGGTACACATGAATAATGTATCACATAGGTGCACTTAGAAGCCATACCGAGATGAACGTCTTCAGTCTTCTCACAAAGTGCTCTCCATTTTGGGCTGATATTCTATTCCCAAGATTGATGTGTTTGACGCATTCGCCCCTTTACTCCTTGTGTATGATCGCTTCTTCGCTTCAATGACACTTGCCTTAGTGTGCTAATGCCTAGCGCTTTTAAGTTTACAGCTCTATGAGACTTGCTACGCAGTTGTTGTACACCAGCACCGAATGATTGTTGAACGCGGTCGTTCATCCTAACAACTTCTATCACAGTGAAGCATGAGTGTGTCTAACTGTAATTTTACGGTGCAGATTGCAAACCCTGTTAAATGTTTAGTGAGTTTCCGATATTTTCCGGAAAGAAATCGTGATCACAAAATTATCTTCGAATATAGATGAACAAGGCGGTGCTGGCGGTTCCGAATGTTGCCGTACAAGAGTTCTGCCGCTGTGGTATTTTCCTAAGCGATAAACAGCAGTAACGAACGGAAAAATAACAAGTACATCTTATTTTTTGGGTAGAGTAGCGAAATGGCAGTACCAGCACTCTGAATTCAGGGGTGTATGGCTGGTATATGTGACATTTGGTACAAAATACAGTCATACCTGTCTAAGGCAACCACTCAATGGACCGACAAAAGTGTTCGCCTTGGACAGGTGGTCGTCATGGGCAGGTTCGCGCATAGGGATATTACTCACAGGCGAAAAAGTCGGGGGTGTTTTTGGCTGATCGCCATAGGTGGTCGCCACAGCAGGTTGGACTATATCACCTTGCAACTGAAAATAATCAGTTTCACCCTTTTCCTTGGGGGAAGTTTAACAATCCTCAGCGTGATCCTAGTTCATCTTTTGGACTTGACCTCAGCATATCACAAGATACTACTCGTAAACACTCAATCAATTTCACAGAACATTTCCTCTTCACAACTATTAAATTGGCAAGAAAAAACCATTCTAACAGGATAATCAGTATGGGGCTACTACGTATCTTCTGGTCAGTCGTGGAGAGTTATGTTGCATACGCAGGAAATCAAGGTGAAAGGTCATTGGTGAATCGATTTGAGTCAACTTTCATCTGATGCTGACCGGCACTCAACTTAAAGGAATGTCGGCACAAGACTCATCAAGGCAACGTGAGACTGGCCGCGTACTCGGGCTGTCCAGATAGAGTGTTTCAGCCACCTAATCGCCAAAGCCTCGCAAACTGAGGGAGGCGGATGGTTTCAGGTTGATTATTCTAAATGATTCACGTGGACCAGTCAAGTGTATCGGGGGATCGAACTAGGTGGCTTTTAAAGATCCGCCATCAAGATGCGCGGAATGTACTCAAAAAACTTCATATCTGTATGAAAATTAGCTATTTCGCTAATAGTATACAAACGGCTGACGAGAAAAAAGCGAAATAGCCGAGTTCGGATCGACCTGTCCGTGTTGTTCTTTCCTGCCACTTAATTAGTTGTTCGTGCAATATCGGTTCGCTTATTTTGGTAAAATGCCTCAAACGGAATCACCTTAATCATGTAATCTTCGGATATAGCATATCTAATTTTCCTTGGATTGCTTTTATCCGTCTTGGTTGTATACAGGCATCACCACGATTTCGAGCTCCACTGGCGGGCCTATCCATGCTTTTATGTCAAAGTAGTAACCAAGAGCATGGCGAATGCCTATCAGATTAATAATTAATGGCAGCTTCTAACTGTTGGGGTTATAGGCTCCGAGTTTTCGCACGAACAATGATGAGCTGAGTAGTAGCAAGGGTCAGCATCTGCAATGTGGCAACGCTCACCAGTTCGACAGTTGGATCCGCCAGTGCCAAGAGGGCAACGACATTCGTACTCAGATCCCGATACGATAGCACACGTCCCGTTTGACCCACAGTCTACTCCGTTGCATAACTCGGATGCACAGTCACCTGAAGTAGATATTAATTGATGGAACTGTGAAAAGTACCCAATGAATGACTACAATCTGTTCAATTTTGACGGATTACTTGTTAAACGAAAGAAGCTATTTTTAAACCGATCCCACAGTGAAAGGAAGATGACTGATTGCCACTCTTAGGCACAATTGTGTTCAGTGGGAAGTACTGATAATAAGTTGAGGTCAGCGAGCTGAAAAGCACATTTATGCAACCCCGGTTACGAATGGGCAGAAATGAACCAGCTCCGATTGAACCCTGCAAAGCACCACCTGTTGATGCTGCGCAGCAGTTTCAACAGCACATTGTTTGGGGCAGCACTTCCTGTAACACGGGACCAATGGAAAGGACTTGGGTATCATCTTTCAAGAAACTCTGCGCAAGTCACCCCAATACTCGAGGGTAACAAAGTTTACGAACTTGAGGTTATTGCTTTTGAGGCGACCTGTTGGTGTCTATTAGCGACAGCTGATTAACTCGTATATTAGTTTCCACGTTGTGTATACGATTCAGTTCTAGCGTTCATGGTTAAGAGACATCTGTCTCTTTGAGCAGCCCCAAAGGAGAGACACCAGGACAATACGTGACTATCCGTTCTAAATTACTAAATGCGCCTTCGTTTAATCGGTTCGTTCTCCTCAAAATATGCAGGAAATTACGGAAATCGTATTCTCACATAGTACATACTAACAGAAGTTGGTCATCCACGTAAATCACTGCTATCCCTAGCCCTTTACAAACAATACCGAGAGTACCACCTGAAACTAGTAGCGAGTCACTTCCATGTGGAATGCAGAAAATCTTTTGCTATCTTAGAATCTGTTTCCAATAGAATGCGCTGCAAACACATGTTGTGAATGCACCAAAGATTGAGACATTTAAAAGACATTTTGACTTTCATCTGAGTGACAAAGGCTATACAACAGGTGGATAAATTGCAAGGTCTAGACTACTAGCAATTCGAGTTCCACCTCGGAATATTTTAACGTTTAGTTTGTTTTACATTTGCATTTACGATCCTATGGATCTTGTAGAGTTGTGCATTTTATCCGATCATACATTATTAAACTACTGAAAAATAGGGAGCCGGAGGATGTAACTTCTGTGAGGTTTTGTTCACTTCGTGTATTCTCATCAGTCTCAAACATGCATCCCGTGATAGATAGACCAACAATAAACGACAAGAGCAACTGGCGACCGAATTGCCAATTAGTGACTTCGCTGTACAATCTTAGCCATAGAGCCAAAGCCAGTTGTTTCTGTACGCACAGCAGAGGATGCTATTGGTTGATATAATTACTATCCATTGGCACGACTGCACTGGGAACTCCAGTTTCACTAGCATGAATTATTCCACTAATAATTTATGGGTAATTCAGCACTGTTTAACTTATTGACCGATCTTTCTATATCGGCTCAGATTTCCTCTTCTTATAACGAACGACTGACTGACGACCGCTCATATTTATCCAGTTGGCTTAATTTTCAATTTACTTAATGTTGTTGCTTTGTAAACACTCCACATATTCTTCGCTATACCGTAAAAATTTATCAGACCGTCAGATTTCGTACCAGTTTAACTGTATTTTTGGGTTATTTGTCGCAAGAACTCGTTAACTGAGTCGCACATAAGTATATTGTACTCAGTTGTCCCTAAATGCGTTAGAAAGGTAGCGGTTTATCAGCCCCAATACTCCTTCTTCCCGGCGTCATAATTTTCCCTTCTATCAGATTGGTGGTTCGGCTAACTCTCCGCAATTTCCGTCACAGCAGCGCTTCGCCACAGTGTGCTACTCATCCGGGTATACTTATTTTCCAGTGTTAGGTGCATCCTTGTAACTACCGTGACACCTCGCTTTCACGATCCGCATGAGTCCCTCCACAGATCCCAGCCCTCAGCATAATCACTTGGAATGTGTTCACCGATCTTAACACATAAATTTCGGTCAGCGCGCCCAATAAGATTGTCTTAGCAACTAGGGATAAAATTTGTTTAAACTCTGGGACATGCACCGCTTCGCCGTCAGTGTCTAGATCGAATACGTAAACAGAGGCGTTGTCGGCATGGGCGACCGCAGCTATAACGCATTAAACGTTTCTTTTTGGTCAACAACTTATTCCTTTCGTGCTGCATTTTATAACGTGTTCACTCTGGATGGTAACTCAGTGAACACCAAGTTCTGTTATACGGTTTGATACAGCGTTTATTCGCCTTCCGGATCTTAGCGTACTTGTTGCCATTACATTTGCTAAAAGATGTTACTTACTCAATCCAAAGCCATCAACAGCGTCGCCAACGTATGGCCTGCGCCTTGGATCTACAAACTTCCCGTTTATGCGAATGTGTTGAAAGCAGCCCACAAAGCCATGCTTGAGGTGCTTGCCCAGCATTAGGTCTTGGTTACGCAAATCTGTTAGAAATGGATGACCTCCGAAGAAAATGTACGTCTTCGCGTGGGACCACGGTGCAGGGATGTGCTTTTTGCTAAGTGATTGGTTCGACGGATTCAGCTACAGTTGACATAAAAGGAAGCGTAGTAAGAGATGTAGTTAGATACGCTACCAAAGGATGTCATACAATCTACAATGTCCATGAGGTTTGCGATTTGCTCAATGGTAAAATGGTACAGTGTCCCAGGCACATGACCACAAATGGCCACTTTTAACATTGTACAGGACCGCATCTTCAGATGTGCAACCTTATAATAATGCATGCAGCAGAATAAACACTAGTAATCTCATTCAATCTTAATCGTGAAAAATTGGTTTAGGGCTAGTGTTTCTTTTCACCCTCAATGTAAACAAGTTAACTTAACTACAGTTTGGTGAGCAATTGCATCCCTTCCGTTCGGCCCGAGTGTCCATATGAGTTGTTGTGCTGCATTCTAGTAAACCGATGTACAAACTTTTTGATTGATTATTATTCGGAAGCATGATCAGTGAAGTATTTCTTACGCCGCTGGTGGTTCCGTGATCAACATCATCGATCAACACTGCTACCTACACAATTATCAGAGTGACTAAGCCACTTTCGAAGTGGGCGATGGTGGCCTTGAGTCCACTAACGGCTGGAGATGCATATCGTTGGTTGTAAAATACTTCAAATACCAGCAAGTAAGGCGGGGATATTACTAGGTCATTCGCGTCAAGGTTCCGTCGAATGGAAATTGTCAAAAAATCGATTGGATCTTGCTATTGGTACTCAACGTCTGGTTCCCTAAACTGCTACTTTGAACCATATTAGTTATCCCCTCAAACTGAATTAATGTTTCACATAAACCTGAGGAGGCGGTACAAAATTGAGTATTCCTGTTTTTAGTTTTTTCAGAGTACATCAACTATAACTATCTGCATGTCGCCTCGTCGTTCGCATTCAATTCCTACTTACACTACTATTATTCAGCGGCGTATTTGCTCGATAAACGCTCAAAAGTGACCTTCAAAATCCAGCTTACATATTTTGATATTGTGGATTCATCCCCACCAGCCTCCGGGACTTGCCAATCAAGTGCTTTTTTACTCTGCATACATCATTGTTCATTGTAGTTCATCCACATAATCCTGTTTCTAATATGCCGCTAACCTTTCGCTTCACAGAAGCTCATTTTATTGTGGCCTCATTTGTAGTTTTCAAGTTCACAAGTCCTTCCCTTGCTGCTCTACAAGATTCGTTAAGCCTATGCTTTTTAACCAGTCATAAATATTTGTCCCACCGCTTCAATTCCTTTGGCAGTAGGATGGATCTGAGGTGTGATGCTTAGATTGAACAGTGATTCCCTTCTGTCAGATGGCGCGAAATGTGTACTGCAGAATGCTCGCGTTTCAGCGGATCACTAATCTGGGCCTAAATGATAAAGGAGAGATATGTAAAATTAGGTTTGTTAAGATTCCGTGATGATGTTCTTCAGTCTAATTAGGATTCACGGGCGATTCCGAACGCAGCTAACTTAAGTCCCAAGGTAGGTACTAAAGATGAATGGGGTCAGAGCGATTCACCCTCTTTAGTTTGTTTACATTTAGCTTATTCATACCAGGTTACTTTCGTCTAGCAGCTAATAATTTGCATGCTAACGTGACTAAACCAGAGAGTGCACCGCGAAGTACATAGGTGCAGTTAATGGTGCAGTATACGTTATCCGACAGATTGAGATCAAACCAGAGAGCACCTTCGCGTGTTACCAAACGGAGTGTTTCCAAAACTCCAACCAGCTAGATTTATTCATGGTATCTCACGAACCTCTGAGTCCTTTTATACATGTCTGTGCGATAACACCATGGTGAGTACTTTATAAATTGTTCCATCCGACGAGACTTGTCCAGCATCGCTTTGTTTACCCGTAAGACACCATTGTTCCACTTTTCCATCAGTAGTTTTGAAATTGGCTACTGTTTTAACTAACCACATCGCCATCCCCTAGGAAAGAATACAAAGAAGTGATGCATTTCTCGCTACATCTGTTCCCGGACAATTTGACGAAAAGAGAGGGGTAAATTAAACTTGTTCTTTACCACTGGGTAGTTCAGTTAACGAGCGGTTATTGAGACATTGAAGTGAGGCAAATCACCTTCGAAATTTAAATTAACACTCAATAAGGCAGCAGTTTTACAGAAAATGGAATAGTAAACATGCATTCAAACAAAGACAGCTCGAGTGGTTATACTCACCAGCTTACAGCAAAACGAGCGGTTGCCGAGCTCGTCAATGCGCCATTTCTAGTAGGTACGAAAGTAACGCTAGTGGCTTATCCCGCGGGGATCATCGGGGAAGAATGCACACACGATCTAGCCTCTCAAGCATTGTCCTCATACACAGTATCCGGGCCGACCACTTACTACACGGTGGCTGCACTGAATCGATCACTTTACTGGCAAACCGTGCCGGCATCCCACTCAGGAGTTTTAGAAAATTGACTTAAACACTGCAGACAAGATGTTTGCAGAATTGTGGAATTTGGCTTTCTGGTGTTTTGATATCTTTAAGACGAATTGGCCAGGACTCTAAGTAGGGTGACCCCAATGGCAAAATATCCGTTGGATCCATACATTAAGTGGACGATGTACAGTACTGGGCGTTTGAGCGCCCAAAGCATGCGCAGTCCGTTTAGGTAAAGCCTGTTCGTATTTACAACGGATTTCAAATCACAGAGTGACAGTACCCAGAGAACTTTCACGGATGGCGATGGGTGTAGCTGCTGGCTGGCCAGCTTGTAGACTCGGTCATTATCACCCTTTCCCTGGCTCATGAATACCGACTTGACCAGACTGATCGGAAGAGTGACCTCTGCTGACCACATGGAGAGGCGGTCAAGGTCACGCTAAAGCAGGTCGCAGTCGTCGGGCGCCTCAACTACCCTCCATACCTTAAGGTCATCTGCAAATAACGCGTAAAGTGAACTAAGAAGCTGAGGCAAATCGTTGATGTGGATCAGGAACAAAATGAGCCCAAAGACTGTGTCCTGTGGGACGCCTCTAGTCGATGAATAGAACTCGATCATCATCATCGTAATCATCATCATCATCATCATCATCATCATCATCATCATCATCATCATCATCATCATCATCATCATCATCATCATCATCATCATTATCATCAGCATCATCATCATTATCATCATCATCACCATCATCCATCATCATCATTATCATCATCCTCATCATCCTCATTATCATCATCATCATCATCATCCTCATCATCATCATCATCCTCATCATCATCATCATCATCATCATCATCATCATCATCATCATCATCATCATCATCATCATCATCATCATCATCATCATCATCATCATCATTATCATCATCAACACCATCATCCATCATCATCATTATCATCGTCATCATCATCATCATTGTCCTCATCATGAGTACTGATTACTGGAAGCGGCAAGAAGAGATAGCTCTGTTTAGCTACAACTAATATCACTCCGGGACAAAGACCCGTTATGTTAGGGTGCGCTGTATATATTATATATCGTCAAAGTTTTTGTCCAGTAGCTTATGAAGTACTGAAATGATTACCTTAAAACGTACAGCTAAAATCCTGCTACTCAAGAGTAATTAAAAATGAATGGCTTCTCCTAGTTTCAAATACTATGGATATACCGTCTAGCGAGAGGACGTCATCACCTCGCAGGCTAGCCACTGTCAGTGACAGTGGAAAATAGGTGGTGCTATATCCCAGTTAGCTAGCAAATTATGTAGCTCAGCCAACGTCCCTCATGACTCAGTAGCTTAAGTTGCTGGCTAGTTGGCATCTGCCTCTAGCGGTCCTGGGTTCGATGTCCAGTAGGGGACCGAGGAAATTCGCACCAATGACGAGCCCCAATAGGGCGAAACGCGTCTGGTTCTTTTCCGGACTAGGCTGTGCTATGTCGCTTGTGAACTACTGAGATGAATGCCTTAAAAATTACAACTGAAATCCTGCTACTCAAGATTAATCTCTTAAATCCCAACGCGGACTTTGCCTGAACTACATGCTGCGGCAGGTCGTTCCATACATTCACCACCCACCACTCGAAGCATAGTTGTTGTGCGACCCGCATCAAATCCGGTACGTCAAGCTTATACCGGTGTCCTCGTGTGATTCTTGGTGTACACAGATGAAGAAGCGGCCTCAATATGGGGTAATCACCCAGATGTAATATCCGGTGCGTCACGATGAGGTCAACCCGCTGTCGACGATAAGCTAGGGTGTAAAGCCCTAGTTTCTTACACCGGTCTTCGTGCGGCACACCTCGTAAATTGATAATCAGCGTGGTGGCTACATGCTGCACTCGCCCAATCTTTTCTGCCTCGTCGCGGCTAATAGGACATATTCAAGACAGCCATACTCTAGCACTGGTCTGATAATAGAAGAGAACAGGCGAGTGGCAATCTCTTCCGACCAAGTGTTGAAGCTGCGCCTGAGCGCCCAAAGCATACGAAGGCTGTTTTGTTAAGGCTTATTCGTGTTTCCTATAGATTTTATGTCGTAGCGTGACAGCACACCGAGGTCGCGCACCAAAGGCGCGGAATGCAACGGTTGACTTGCCACCGTGTAGGTTCGACAGTGATCACACTTACCCAACCTCATGAATCGCGACTCGACCGGGTTGATTGGGAGCTTGACCTCTGCAGACCAAGTGGAGAGGCGGTCGAGGTCCAGCTAGAGCGGGTCACAGTCTTTGGATATGCGGATTACTCTCCACACCTTCAAGTCATCTGCGAACAACGTACAAGGTGAATGGAGTAGCTAAGGCACATCGTTCACATCGATCAGAAACGAAATCGGCCCCGGTACAGCACCTTGGGGCACTCCACTGCTCAATGGATACCAGTCAGCAAGATGCTTGTCGACCTGGACCCTCCAGTTTCGATCAACAAGGACATTTTCGAGCCATTGGTGCAGGGAACCAACAACACCACACGCCCTTAGCCTGTCGAGGAGCACTGCATGATTCCCTTGGCAATAGCTTAACTGAAGTCAAGGTAAATGACGTGGACCGAATGTTTTGGTTCATCGCTTG